TTAATATTAATAAATAAATATTTTAAATAATATAACAGGAAAGAAATATATGAATATCAGATATATATGATTATTTAAAAAAATTGATAAAAATAATTATTAAGATGAACGTATAAACATATATTTATGTTATAAATGAAAGCAATAAACTCAATGCTAAGTGTTTTAGTCTTAATATATAAATTCAAAGTAGTTTTATTTTAATACAATTGTATTAAATAGAAATATCCAAAAATATAATTTTTATTATAATAAAATTAATATTTGCCAATGGAACAAATAACTTGAATATATATTATACATTCAAGTTATAAATGCAATCAATGAACTCAATGCTTAACAAAGTTAAATTGTTAATTGTTAATAAGTTATAAGTTTAAAATTAAATTATTTATATTTAAACATAACTTATTATTATAAATTCGATGTTAAATATTCAGCAATTAATGTAATATAAGAAAAAATTGATTCATTTACACAAAAACATCACTTTATAGAATTAAATCTTATCTGTTACAATTTCTTAAAGAAAATTAGTAAATATTTAAATTTATTACATATATAACATTTATGCTATTAAATAACATATAATTAATTATTTATGAGTGTTATATAATAATTATGATTAAGAGGAATAAAAACTAGAAATGTTATAGTTTGAGTACTTTAAAAAATTTCAATTCTGTAATTGTCATCATCAAATATATATGTGTAGGCCTATATTTATATAAAAGAACATACCTTGCGTAGTGGATAATGTAAAGTATGCGTCCGTGCTCGGGGATAAGATTATACACTGTCAGAACTTTCCAAACAAGTCACTAGAGGCGTCTCATTCGTCATATTTTTTCTATTCTTAAGCTGACACATAACACGACGGACAAGATGGAGCCACAAAAAATTGCTTATAAGTCCAGTACTACCTCTCTATATATCCATTTAGCTAATTCCTCAGGGCATAAAAATTAAGCGTATGAAATTTATAATTGACATCAACATCGGAGCTCTTCTTCCGCCTTTTTTTATAAGTCTACAAATTCAAGATTCTACTCAAAAAATTCTAGAAACAAGTTCAGGAAAATATACTTGGTTTCGTACTAATTAAGATGTATTATGTAGGCCTACACATACATTTTTTTACTCTTTAAACGATTCTTTTCTTAATTAATAATGTGTAAAATGGAAGAAATTCGATTGTTTTCATCCAAAATTTGCTTTATTGACCTACTTGTTTGACCCTGATTAACAGATCAATGAACAGAAATCACCTTTAATTGTACCTCATTCGGTTCAAAATACTAACGGAGCCGAGTGTCACTAGAAAGGATAAATTTATTAATGAGGTCCGGACTAGTTACATACGTCACTTTTATTAATAATATAAAAATATGCTAATTATTTAATTCATTAATAACTCCAATTTAAGATTTTATATATTAAATCAAGTAGATTTTCTTCGATTTTGCGTTTATATCCGGATTTAAAATCCGGTTGTTGAACATTATTCTCTTACCAGTTAAAGCAATTCAAGCGATTATAATTGGTACGCGAAGAATTGGTAATATATTGGTATGCGAGGAACAAATTAATTTAATTAGGATTAATACAATATGAATTAAATAAAAGAATAATATCCTGTAATTCTTTTTATTAACATCTCTACGCTTCACAGGAGGATAGGAAACAGAAAGTCACATAGTATCTATTAAATAATACAAAAGAAATAACTTGTTTTGTTTTAATTTATATTTAATTTATATAATAATATATAATTTAATTTATAGTTCTACACTTAATTTCGATAATAATTTGCAAAATAATATTAAAATTTTTATTTTTTAATATGTTAAAACGCAATTAAAATCGAAACATATCCCAGTTTATGCCACTGAACAAATAGAAAATATATGACTCGCTTAAAAAACGGCTTTTCAGGAACCAATTAGTTTGTAAAAGTGTATATTCTTCTGTATATTCTTCTTCCATATTTAATTAAAATATATACGAAAAAGTTGTTTTAATAATATTTAAACTTACATGATGTAAGCCAACATTCTGATGTAGCATATACATATGTAAGCTTATATATTGTTTAATGTAAAAATTTAAGTATTAAATATTAATCAAGATTAGAAAATCGATCCGTCAAATTTGGCAGATTAAAACTGAGATAATAAAAAAAAATCTGGCCTACGATCTCGATCTAATTTATCAACATTTAGCTCTACATTCAGGAAATATATTGCAATAAAATGCGAGAGAACATATTGATCTATGCACTTAAGCACTTAATGTATACATCAAAAATACAGTTTATTAAGTCATAAGGGTAAAAAAATATAGAAAAAATATATTCAAATTATGTTAATTTTATTTTTTTCTTTGATTTTTTCCTCTATATATACCATATATGTATCAATAGAAGAACTATATAATTCTGTATTTAGATGGTGATATAAATCATTAAATAACATAATTGCTTATCCATAAATTAAATAAAGGTTTTTAAATTATCATTTTATTATTAAAAATTTTAGAAAATTTCATGACTTTAAAAGCGTTTTGATTAAATAAAATGTAATCTTAGATTTGTGTTATTTTATAATCAATCCTCGCTTTTATGATTGGTATGAATTTGCTATTATGACTATTATGTAACGAATTTAAGTGCTACATTATTAAATTGCTAAAATAAATTTCTAGGAAAATAATCTGAATTTATGACATTGAACTTAAAAGAAATAGGAAGTCCCTGTTTACGACAACGTTTAACGACGATTTTCACAAACAAATTACTTGTAAAAGCAAAATTTAAATATCCTATTATAGTTTTCGATTAATTATAATATTTTATTAATAATTAATCAACTTTAAAATGCTGCTATAATGTTTATCATCAGATATTTTATTTGTATTTTTTTGTAGAAAAGAAATAAACACACCTGAACAAAACGTCAAATTATAACTAATAGTTGATAATTTAATAATTTACTCAGAACATTAATTAAACAATTTTAAATTACGCGTTATGATGTTATACAACTCTATCTTGAAGATCATTGTTCTATTTATTATGTTTTACGACATTAGTCTATGGGAAAACAGATTTTTAGCATTAGAATGTCAAGATATTGATATATATCGAGATAGATATTGATATTTTGCGATAAAGAAACACACACAGATAAAAGACATAACCTGTTTTTAATCTAGATACATTTAAGGGAAATTTAGTGGGTTATCTTACGAAACTACTTTATGTAAATTGAGTACGTGATGAAGCAACTCGATGAAGTGACTAAGGTCGCCTCCATAAAATCGTTTGTTATTCATTTAATACAAACAAAG